CTTATTATATCCAAGCTCAGATGCAAAGGTCTGCCTGGATCGAAATGCGGAAACTTCTCGGCCATTCGCTGTTTTTCAAAAAAGAGTTTGGGAATCATCACCTAATCAGTACATGTAGGTATTTCCTCATATGTCTGAAAGCCCGACCTTCTTCTTGTCTTTGCGTTTTTGTAAGCTGGGAGTTTGATTGAGTGGTCCATCGTTACCTGATAAAAATTATGTGTTGTTGAAGGGGAAAAGACTCAGAGCTAATCTATGATTGATGCATATGATTCGCCTTGCATAAGCTTACCTAGGTTAGTGCGCTTCGTAGGCTTTGTGCTTGAGCTGGGGGAAGCAGATCTCTTGACATGTGCTTTTACTTTCACAGCAACCGGCTGAGACTGGTTTGATGGACCTTATAGCATATTGATGATGTGAGAATCTGTGTTAGAAAAGATATAAAGACCTCATATACCAATGTAGAACGTGATAAAACATACCAGATGCATTGCTGTGAGGTGGTTCTATGTCATCCGAAATCCCTTTGACCAATGCTGGCATGTTGCTCTCTGGATTTGGGAACACTTTTCAGACACATGGTAATTGTATATCAGCGGCTACACAAACAAACAAGTAAACATTGGATAGAATCTTACATTGGGGCTGTTTCTTCCGCACGATCGCTGCTACTTCACCTTTGTTGATGCCTGACGAGACCGGAGACTTGGGGTAATTGATGCGGAGCCAGTCCAGCATAGTTTGTTTGGTCACACCTGGAGTACTCGGATCCATGACGCTTGGAGTGTTATGATCTAACATATCTAGAGCACAATATCAATTATAACTAGAGAATGGGTGTGGATAATCATTGTAAAAAGACACAAACCTAATGATCGAGAGGAGAATCTAAGAGTTACTATGTCGGTGGCCGTGGGAAGACAGCTGCCCACAACTTGGCTGTTCGACTTGACATCAATGGAAAGATTCGATTGTCAGCATCAAAAGCTTTTCAACATTTCCATTTCCAAAATTCGCTAAGTAAATTCTGAAAATGGAAAGATTTGGGACGTAGAAGAAAGGACTAATATTTACGTCTGAAATAGGTATACAGTTAAAACCTGCCTGCAAACACAGCTGCGATTATATGGAGCCACAAGACTGATAGTGTGAAAAAATCTGGTAGGGAGAAATTTAGAAAATTGGATAATGGGATGAGATTAGTGGCGAGTAGCAAACTGAGGCTAGAAGTGAAGCACAATCTGTATAAGTACGTCTAGTAGTGATCAACACACTGTGAAAGTAATTTGAGAAAACGAACAACTTCAGTTGGGTGTTTTGATTTGATCCTTTTATATTCGTGTGCTGCTTTGAGAACCTTGTCGGAGTTCCTGTATGACTAATAACGCGAGGACAGGTATCAATTAAAGGAGATGACAATCATGAAGGCCTTTGGAGGATTCAAACTTGCAAGTTATCAAAAAGTTGGAAGGAATTCATTGAAGTTCTCCGTTGTATATACAACATATTGGAGTTTAAATATTGTCTGTCAGCAATATGCTGACACACCATGCAACATGTACTACATGTTGCTAAACGTTGTCAGAGTACACAGGATACAAGTCAAAACAGTCTAGACTCTAGGTAATGGATCTCTTGATCGTATCAACGCAGGCATCATGGGCCTATAGTCTCCTTGGTCTTACACATCAACATAATTATGTTTTACATTATCGGTGAGTATAGAAAAGGATTTTGTGATACGGATGTCTCAAAGAAAAGAGAGTTTGAGATTCTGTGTACCGCGATGGCTTGTTTAGGATCTCAAATCATACGGAAAGTAAATGTCGACTGACCAAGCCCAAGCATTTTGCATGGGTATAAAAAAGAATTTAGTATGGGTATAGAAAAGTGCGCTACACATAGTTTTCTATGCGCGCACTACTTTTCTATACCCCCGGGAAAAGATGGCATTTGACGTAGTGTCTGAACATATTTGAAACCCTTCTACTAGGAGTTTCACCTCTGTGTGAAACTCCTCCCCAAAGATAGCGCCTCCTGAGCCCCATAAAGGTAATGGATTTCCTGTCCATCCTCTGCAGAAAATGAAGAGGAGGATCAAGGCTTGACCTATCAGCAAAAATCTGCAGCCAAGTATCAGAAGATGAAGGATGAAAAGGAGAAAGCTGTTGAAACCAAGCGAAAGAATGATGAAGCACGCTTGAGAAAGACACCTAAAGATGATATTCCCTCAGGGCTCACTTCAGCTATCCACGAGTGGGCTAGGGCCCTACTGGGACTTCCCCGCCAGTCAACCTCACCCAACTCCTCTCAGATTGATCTTAATAAAATTACCCAACATCACCTGCCAAAATCAGCTGAGATTACTGAAGTGGAAGCTTGGAGTACTCATAACAAGAGTTGCTCAAACTATATAGATTATGAGGTCAATCAAAAGATGTCCCAGAAACTAACCACCAATCCTAAAGCATCTGCTACTTACAAAGCAGGAACAAAGAAATCAATCACAAAGGAGGTAGTTGCACAATGGGCAAACAGGATGTTACTGGAAAATTTGTTTCTAGGGTCTCTCAAAGTACTGCTTCTATTCAGAGTTACAAAAGAACTAGATTGGCTATAGCTGAAGCTTCTATGGCTTCTATGGCTTCTGCCGGCTTCCTGAGGTGTACGCTTCAATGGACTGATGCACTCAACACTCTGAGAAACTCTTCCATGCTCAACACTCTGTTGAACTCTTGGCTGGAGTGCTATTATTCCAAAGGTGTCCCTTCTTGCTATGATATACCCAAATCTGACAAAACACCAAAGCTTGCAAAAGAAATTCTCACCAAGTGGCTTACTCACAAGAGGGCTAGATATAATCAGGAGAACAAAGACAAAACACTCTTAGCAACCACTGAAGGAGCAAGGAAATATGTCAAAAAGGTAGTAGAAACAAAGGAAAGGAGAGCCATGAAGGCCTTGAGGACCAAAGTGATTTTTCCCCCTACTTCTTCTCCAATCCTAGCTTCACTCACAACTGACATGAATTCCTCAGTTTGCTAAAACCCATACAGAAGCCCTTGCAAAACACATCACCACCTTCACGGGCACCTACAAACTCCTCCTCGTAATGGACAAAGTGCATTCAGAGACTGAGACGGTTCCTGCAACTAAAGAGAAGCCAGCTCACCAACAGCACATCAAGCTGGCCTGGAGAACCCCAGAACTGGACAAATTGGTTGATCTTGCTGATAAAATGGCCCCAAAGCAGAAGGGCTTAACCCAGACCCAAAAAACTAACATCATGAAGGCCCAGGCAGACAGGGCCAAACAATCTACAGCAGCAGTCGACCTGGAAAACCAACTTCCACCCAAGGGATTCCCCAAGTGTTTGATCAAGGAAGAATATTTGAATGCCCTTGGGGAGCTGGAGGTTGAAGCCCTGGAGCTGTGTGAAGATCATATTGAACTCAAGACTCTCAATGAGCATCTGATGAAGAAGCTTGGAAACAAGAACCAAATGGATGTTGCATCTTAAGAATTGTTCAAGGATACTTCACTTTATAGAACTGTCAATGTGTTCATCTAATTATATTTGTTGCTCTTTCTTTTTCTTGGGTTTTCAATGTTTACTCCAAACTTATATTACAAGGTACAGAATCAAAGAAATCATTATTTTCATCAAATTATACTTCTCTCTTTCTCTCTTTTTCTTGGTTATCCAATACTCACTTTACCAAAATTATATTACAGGGTACATAAAGAAAATTGTCATTTGTTTTCTTTTGTTTCAGAAAAAAATCATCAAGAAATCTTGTGTATTGCTGTATGTTGTAATGTGCTTTGAAAGAAATCATCATAAGTTGCACCAGAATTTCGTTTTCATATTGTACCTGTGGGCAAAGAAGGAATGGATCTCAAATGTTTATTATTTCATGTTTCATATTTGCAAATTCATGCTCCCACTTTCACTTGGTTTGACTTTGCACCCCAAATGAGTCACCTAGCCCAGTCCTATTGCAATCTCCACTTGATGGCTTGCTGCCTAAAAGACCTGGGGGTAGTACAATCATTTTCATTGTTTTTTGAACCGTACCACCATAGTGTCACTAGGTGTCACTGCATCGACATGTACTTGAAACTTGCAGAAGCTGGTGGAAGACACAGGAAGGTAGGGCTAGAGGTATATAAAGTGCTCCAGGTTGCACACCCATTCCTGTCCTCCATCTTCTTAACCATCACCCTCTCCTGTTTCATCAACTTCACTTAGGATCTTTCTCCAGAAAATCAAAACCAGAAAGTTTTTAGAGAGTTTTTATCAACACTCATTCAAATGGGTAGGCCCTCTGCAGTTCTTCTGGTTTGAAAACTGCAAACTCATGACCCCACTCTACATTCTCAGCATCTCCCACTCAAAAACGCTCAAGTGGTTGGGTGAATGGAACACCACCAAAGAGCCGCAAGGCAAAGAACAAGGCTCTGTGCACTCACATCCCAGATCATAATCAGCCAATATGTAAATCATATTCTGACTTCACAAGATTCATGCTTGGCTACACCAGAACACATCAAGTTTATCCTGATTCACCGGACGGCAATCAACTCATGAATCTTCCATCTCTGACTTTGGAAATGATCTTACAAGATACCTCAGGCTTCACCACTTCCAGCACTTCAGCCCATTCAGTTAAATCTGATTGGGCACTGTTCAAGACTCTGCTACTCAAAGGCCTGGCCAATCACCAAATAGATAATAATTCCACCTTTGAATGGGAAGCAGACCACGGCAAAAAAAGTACATGGGATCAAACAATGATTTTTTTAACTGTCAAGCATTGGAAGTTTGCCAAAGCTGCTTCTGCTTTTGAGAAATTTGGACTGGATCAAAACAACCCCACGGACCTTGTCCAAGTTGGAATCATGACTTGCTGGGTGATTGGGTGGATTGAAGAAATCAAGAGCAGATTTCAAGATCCACTCAAGGTTGAACAAAGGACTTGGAGCAAAAAGCAAAGAGATGTAAGTCATGTTTATCCCTTTAGGCATTCTCCCATTTGATTCTGATAATGTGTAATCAGCTCTAGAAATACCGTGAATCCACTCTTCAG